GTGACGCGAATCGTGTAATAACCCCCGGCAGCAGGAGCCGTGGTGAAAGGAATGAAGGTGCAAGGGGCAAAAGGCTTCAAACCGTGTGGGAGCGCTGGTCGCCTGGATGGGGAGCAAGACTCGCTTGCAGCGCGCTTCGAGGCCCGGGAGCCGGGCGACCTGCTGAATGACCCTGCGCTGGCGGAGCGAAGACTCCAGTCTCTGGAGCAGTCTCTCTCTCTCGACGACCCGCTGGCTCCCCAGCCCCAGGTTTTGGGGCAACAAGCCCTTACCAGCCCTCGGAGGAGGGAATTTCAGTGTTGCTACAGAGCTGCCTTCGGCTTTGAGATGTGTCGAGCAGCCTTGTCGCTTTAGTGCTGGATCCCGCATTGTTTGTGCAGCCGCTGCTCTCGTCTGCACCCAGCCCTTTTTCACTGCGTTACCGGACGCTTTGTTGCACGTCTAGTAGTGAGAAGAGTGAGGTATTAGAATAAGCGCTGTGTGCGCTCGGGCAGCCATGCCACTTCCTTAATTCTTTGAATTCTTAAATGCATATTTTTAATTCTTCAACTTCCTCTTTAGTTTTGGGCAAGAAAGTAAATCTATCTTCAAAGTAAACTTGGTATCTTTTGGAAAATAGCTAAGCAGTCACATAAGGAAAGCATACAGTTTTCTACATTTAGGGGGACCGCACAAGTTTTCTCCTTCCTTACGGAAACCGACACGTTTCATGCAACAAACGCACGTGCGACAAGTAGCTGTAGGTCAGAACAATCTTACCCTGAACCCTTATATTAAGAGTCACCTCCAAGATATCCTTTAGCCTGTAACACCTTCACAGTTGAAGGTTTCCAAGACAGTTTCCTGCTTTTTTGGTGCAATTCTTGCTGCTTCCTTATCTAGGCTAATTGGCCAATGTTCCAGCCTATATTTATGGAACAGCCTTCAGGATTGTGACCAGTCAGGATAGACCCCTTACTGTCCCCTGTCTTTTTTAATTTTAGGTTTCCTCTCTGAAACACCCATGGGTAAGACAAAACCCAGTGAGCCACTATCAAAGCAGTACATCTCGGAGGCGATTTTCTAGTAGTGCTGAAAAAAAGTAGATTCTCCTTGCCACACAAATAAGTGTAGACAGTCGGAAAAGATGCAAACCTCAGATCAAATACCTTGTCTCGTAAGGAATATGCAGAGATTAATTAATCCTCTGATTGGAATCTGCAGTAGAGGTGGCTGCACCTGAATGTGGGGAAGGTACAGATCCTTAGATACAGATTTGATGAAGTGGTTGGGTTTTTTTTTGGATGGAAGCCACAACGCATCTATAAGGTTATTGTGTCTTGCTCGTTTCCATGATACTGTGGGAATATCCACATCATAATTGGGTTTGCAGGATGAGACCTTGAACTAACTTGGTTCACAAATACATGGGTAGGTTCAATGATTTTCATCAAAATGTTCATTAGAACTTGAAGGCCAGAAATGTTAGTTCAGCTCATTGCTAAATTGAACCGTGTGAACCAGGGTGAACCACGCGTACTCATTAAATGGAACTTTCCCCTCTTGGGATGCAGCTCTGCATTCGTGTGTGCCAGGCATCGTCCTCTCTCTTCATCAGATTTTAGTAGCTTTGCACAGGATGACAGGAGCAAACGGATGCAATATTTGGCCTCGTGGTTAGAATGATTCTTATGAGCGAGTTACTGGTACTTAGCAACTGATTTTATTATGGGATTATCAGAGAACAGTTGGGTCAAACAGGCTTTTAGCTGGAATGCTGGAAAATCCTTGGGGGGGAAAGAATCATTGAAGATAACCAAAGGAACAGACTGGTGAGCATTTTTCTTCAGAGCAGCAAGTTAACGTGTGGGAAGAGTTGAGTGGTCCAAGAGGATGCACCCTGGTTCTTCCAAAAGCATCCGCTGTACAGGATCCAGGGACACGATTCCCTTTATTTATGAGTTGAACTGAAATAACGTGTTCTCCTTTTAGGATGCGGGAATATTGAGCATTGAACTGAATGTTCAAAACCTTCTTAATTCATTTTATTTTTAGATTGAGGATGAAACACAAGTCTCCCGAGCAACCCAAGGTGAGCAAGACAACTATGAGATGCACGTCAGAGCCGCAAACATTGTAAGTAATATATGTGCGTAACATTAGCACCCTGAGTAGCAACCTTTTTGGTATGCTCTGCGGTCTATTAAAGCATCCACATGCAGACTTTGTATCAGTAATGTGCACTGCTGCTACAGGTGCAGCCAAAGGTCAAAGCGTTGGGAATTATGCCACAGTGGATGAAAGATGCCGAGTTTTATCACCTAATACATGGCATGGCTTTCCCAGTGCAAACCAAGGGATTAATTTTCCATTTACTCTAGATTTCTCTCTTGGTATAACCCTAGCTGTTCTCTTCTGTTTAGTGTTGCCCAATCGTAAGTGGTAAGAAGTGTGACTTGGACTCCTGTTTTTCAGTGTTGATGCTCTCTGTTGCCTCTGGGAGGTGTCCATACATATTTTTGGTTTTGGGCTACTGAGCACTATGCTTGGCCCTGGGGAAGATGACAGCACTGTGCATCTGTTCATTACACCTAGGACTGTGTAGTGATCCTGGTGTGCCTAGAAGGTATGCTATGAGAATGCATTCTTTCTAGTATGACTGGCTGTTGGCCAAAGGGACACTGTCCCTAATGGGGACTCTCACATAAGAAAGTCTGGGGTCTGTGGTTTAGGGAGCAGATCCCCCTTCAGAACCAGGTCAAGGCTCCTCTGTACTCTTGTCTTATTTAAATAAAATATCACCCCCTCCACAAGGTCCGAGCTGGCGAGTCCTTGATGAAGCTTGTGTCTGACCTGAAACAATTCTTGATCCTCAATGACTTCCCCTCTGTGAATGAAGCTATCAACCAGCGTAACCAGCAGCTGCGGAGCCTACAGGATGAATGTGACAAGAAGCTCATTGCGCTGAGAGACGAGATTTCCATTGACCTGTATGAGTTAGAAGAAGAATATTACTCTTCCAGGTACAAATAGGATGCCTGCCTACTAACAAGCCTCCTGCCCTTTTTGAGAATTGGTCTAGGAAAGCGAATAGTCCCTAGGACTCAAGGCTATGGGGATGGTTCCCATTAACATCTACAGTCCTGATTTTTAATTAGATCAAACTCTTCTTAAAGACATGGTGCTGGCAGAGTCATGGTAGGGGAGACCGAGGTTCTTTCACAAGTGACCTAATTATAGTGTGCCTTTTCCCAGGGACCTACCATCACCAGCTGTCTGGGTCTGTAAAAATTAACCTTTTAAAATGAGTAGGCTGGACTCAATTTAGCTCAATTCAGAGGGCCTGATTTCTTTTAAAAAACCTATTATATTTTTTATGATGAAGTCTTTCAAAACTTCCAATACAAAGTGGATTTTAGTGGATTCAGATACTTTTTTTTCCCCCCCCAGCTAAGCTTGCAACCTCAGACACCGCTACCAGCGAGGTCTAGTAAATGTAAGTGACTAGAGTCAAATCCAAAATTAACTAATTTGGTTCTGTTGTTCAATTTGAGTAGGTACAATAGGTAAAAGTTAAGCAACACCCAGGCAACATGTACTTGCTGTTTTACAAATGCTTATTTTAATGTTTGGACCAATACATTGTGACCATGCTGGCATGGTCTTTTTTTTAGCCAGCCCTGGATGCCACAGAAAATGACCTTTCATAGCAGAACTAATGGGGCTCCTAAGGTGGGAGATGTTGGCTGTGCTATATAGCTGTGCCTTTTACCAGATCCCATATCAAGTAGGTGTCCTTGGCTGTTTAGCAATTACTCCCTTTTACCTCTCTTGCTATCAGCTTTCTTTATTTCTGCACCAAAGAAATACACAAGTGTGTCAATACAGAAGACCAGTGATTAAAAGTTATTTTATAACTAGAGTAATAAGGTTTTTTTTAACGGCATTTTATTGTCTGATGTGGGGATTCTGTTTTTGTATTCAAATACACGTGGCATGTTAATGTTACTTGTGTTTAAATGGCTTTAAATATGTCAACATGTACCTTGAGTGGACAATGTGCACTCCTTCGGAGAGCCCAGATGGAGTTCTGTAGCTGTCAACACTGTGAACCTCCTACGGTCAAGTGGGTTTCTTTGTCTAGTAGAGATCTGATTTTGGTACTAAGGAAATTACTAGGAGGCTTGCACCTTGCCGGGCGGGAGCACACTAAGGTTCCACACAGCTGGAGTCCCTGGTTGCTCTCCCACTCTCTGGTGCCCGAACCAAAGTGCTTTAAATCAGTCACCTCCTCACTTGCTTATTCCCCAAAGCTGTAAACTCATAAACTTGTGCTTGCCTTATCCAGCCTCATACAGCCAGAGTTGTATGCTGGTGCTTCACCACTCCCTTGTCTGGCAGCACGGGGAGAAGTCTGGAACGCGGGGTTAAGTTCTACACGGTTCTTCAGTTTGAAGTGTTCCTTCTCTATATATTTTACAGTTAAACTATTTTCTATAAATATTGACTTGAGTCTATTCATTGTAAATAAAACAGCACCAAAACCCCACTTGACCCACTGGGTTTGTTTTCCTTTGAATGCAATCTGCTCTCTGCTTCAGCATTCACTTTGGTCTCTGGGTGTGTCTCATGTGCACAGCTCCTTCTTCTTTGGAAATTGTTTTTTTTTATTTTGTTTTGTTTTTTTTTCCCAGTCTCTTCCAGCATTTTTTCTATTTCTCATTCTGATTTATAGCCCTGGCTCCTTGCATCCACCTCGTACTAAAGAACAGACAAGAGTGAGCCACCAGCTTAGATTTGCTGCAACTATTTACACCACTGATCTAATTCTGTATCCTTCAGTGGTCAAATCCAGCAAGATGGAGATGATATGCATAGACATATGTTAAATAATTCCTGTATGTTATATATAGTATATGTAGGACATTCAAAATCACTGGTCAAATTAGGGTTCAGTTCTCCTTTCTCCCAGTAAAATTGCCAGGAACAAGATCCTGGCCCCACTGAACACAATGAGTAATACCACTGATTTCACTGGGAACAGAATTTTATACCAGATGTCTTTTTGCTGGATTTAATGGGAATGAGATTGATGCCATACATCTGTTGCAGACTGAGGTAGCGCCACTGGCTTTATGGTGCCATCACATCTGCTCCTCGCAGGGTCAGTGAGATCAAATGCTGGTCCTCACTCTGGAGGGAATGTCAGTGTCATGAGAACTGTGATGTATTTGTGATTCACAAAGATGACATCCATGAACATTTTTTTTTTTTTTTTTTTTTTT